GGAATGAATTTAAGCCCTTTTGTCAGTAAATTAATCTTGTTATTTGTAAGTTCTTCGTTTGAGAGGTTTTTTATGTGCTTTTTGTTCGCCGTTATTGTGATAGTTGAACGTTTCTGGCGTCTGACCTTTCTGCGCTCTTTGCGCTTATTAGTTGCTAGCCGTTTTGCTTTTAAAATGTGTTTTTTGGCCCCATGTTTGTGGTGGGAGTCAGAGAATACACATGTGTACTTTTGAACTTCTTTACTCTCAATGGCTCCTAATTTTTCCATCATACTGCTGAACTGGGCGATTTGTGCCTGGAGGTCAACAGCAATTTGTTTTACTGCCCCGATCGTTACATCATTGTTTTCAGCTTGCGCCACGCGCGCTGGTTCGATTGTAGTACAGTTCTTAGGGTTCAGTGCTGTAGCCGGTGTGGCTCGCTTGCCTTTCTTGATTTCAGCCTTAAAACGGCCGATGTCACGTTGATGGAGGCGTATAATCGCATTGAGTGTTTCTTGCTCTGCGTTCTTGCGGATTTGTTTTATCTCTCTTTTAAAATCCTCGCCCTATATTGTAGGGTTTCTGGGCAAGTTCGCTTGTCTGTGTGCCTTTTTAAAGATTTGATTGCACCTTCAGCTTGGCTAATTTTGTCCTCCGCGGATAGGCTGGGGCTTCATTTTCGGTTCTATGTGGACGGGCTGTGGCGGCAACGTTTTCTGTACTGTTCTGTCCTTGGTTCGCTGGTACTCCTTTGGGGGCGCCTGTCACGGCTTTGGCATTGCTGTTTAGGCTGTTTAGGTTTTCTAGGCACTTCATACGGAGGGATTTGTTCATCCTCATCGGACTTGCTGAGTAGATCATCCTCGTTAGCTATGTCGTATGAGACTTCCATCTTATCGTCATTCTCAATGGCATTGCTTTTGCCAGGGGCATTTAGTAGCCCATCTGCCGTTATGTTTTCGAACATTTTCTGGTCAGGCAAGACCACGGTTTCGATCCTTATCTTGTGGATCTGGTCAGTTGCCGATTGAATAAACAGACTGATAGAGATGTGTTCTTGGTATCAGTCACAAAAAGGGTGTTTCTTAACCATTTTCGTATACTCGCTCGAGGGATCGAAAATCCTTTGTTTCTATTGGCTTTTTATGCTTTGGCCATTTGTGTGTTTACATCGAAGATCCTTGTGAGCCCAGCATGAGTTGTGTTTTTTGTATAGGCTAAAATGCAAAATTTTGAGCAGATACTGTAATAGTTTTGCAAGGAGAGAGTTTACTGCATTAGTGTAGTGTTGTTCCTCATTGACTGCCCGGTTTTGGGGGCCATATGTCGTGTATTTTTTAGCAAAAATTGATGTTTCTGCGTTGCACAGTGTATTGCTCAATGTAATTAACTCGGTGTACGTGATATATCACTGCTGAGGACGGGGCCTGTCTAGTAATAAAAATCAGTGTAAAATGGGGTTGACAGGCCTACACGACTCCCCAGCGCATGTTTAAAATAGCCTTCTAATAGTTTGGCTCTCACAAGTATATCTTATGTCTTTTTTTGCCCAATGTCAAAAACAAATTGATAAAATACAGTTTTAAGGGTGACAAGTCTTACTTCTCGCTTTCTCATAGCAATAGTGACTTTGGAGACTTTAACAGCAGGGATGTATCCAATTGATTGCCAGCCTCCTTCTCCTGTAGACAAACTTGCTTGAACAACAACAGCGTTCTTGTCTCGAACGTTTTTGGGTTCCAATTGTAAAGGGAGATCGATTTTTTCTTTTTCCAATAATCTTTCCTTGGATTTTTTAAGGCTAGTTTGAAAAGACTCGTGGTAACTGCTTCCTTTCAACTGCATCAACTCTGTAAACAATTCCTCCCCCTCTATTTGATTTATCGTGAGCATCCTCTTCCCCACTTTCCTTATCATTCTCATCATCTGAATCGCCATGTACATCCGGTACACTGCTTAAATCAAAATTTTGCAACCGTGCTGCAATTGCTCCTGTGTCTGGTGTGCGAACTATGTCACCAACGCTAGGAAATTGAGTGCAGTTGCATGACACTTCATCAAAGGCAAGCCTTGGAACGGACACCATGTGGTCTCCTGGTTTTTCTTCTGGTTGTATTGCGGCTCCTGTCATACCGGTCGTCGGCTCAAAATCCCAGATAACAGCCATTTTCGTTCCTTCGTTGTCATCAGTTTCTTCAGGGGCAACCTGGTACATAAAAGTTTGAATGTTAGTCGTTTTGCCTACACTCTGGTCGATTCGCCTACACGATCTAAGTTGTTTCGCCAACACAGTTGCGCTTAAAGTGCGATAAGTATTAAACTAAAACAAGTTCAACTGTACCTTTTAACTAGTTCAGGCGTGTCAAAAACCGATCTTTCTTCATTGTTTTCCTAAAATGGGAACCCAAGATGCCTTTGATTACTGATTTTTTTTGTATCTTTTGAAGTTAAAAAAGGAAGTTCCACAACAAACACAACTCACGCGGTAAAAGTGTGAAAACGCTGCCATCTTTGTAGCACGTGCTCAACAATTCACGTGATTACTGAACACAATTATGACGTCAAAGATTAAGACTACAGTAGGCGCAGGCTAAGACTAAAAGTAAAAACTCAAATGATATCACAGCAATATCGTCATGGTAAGAGGAGAATGTTGAGAACGTCTTTATATATATTTACTCTACAGGCATCCTATTTACTCTCTCTATATATATTCTACCATTTTTATTATTTAGAACCAAAACTACTGCATTTAGGGATTATTTTTGTTTTACCTATTACACTCGGGGACATGTGGGTATCCAAGTGACACCCGCCCCTTAAATTATATTTTGAAATTCTCGTTATTTAACCTACTAATCTGAGATGACTTCTAATCTAGTAACCCATTACACTCGGAGACGTGTGGGTATTCAGATAATAACCACCCCTTAAATAATATTTTGAAATTCTAGTTACTTAATTTGAGATTATTTCTATTATTTCTAATCTAGTAAGCTAGTACACTCGGAGACATGTGGGTATCCAGGTGACACCCGCCCCTTAAATAATATTTTGAAATTCTACTTACTTAACCTACTAATCTGAGATGACTTCTAATCTAGTAACCTATTACATTCGGGGACATGTGGGTATCCAAGTGATACCCGCCCCTTAAATTATATTTTGGAATTCTCGTTACTTAACCTACTAATCTGAGATGACTTCTAATCTGGTAACCTATTACACTCGGAGACGTGTGGGTATCCAGGTGATAACCGCCCCTTAAGTAATATTTTGAAATTCTAGTTACTTAATTTGAGATTATTTGTATCCTACTAACCTATTACACTCGGGGACATGTGGGTATCCAAGTGATACCCGCCCCTTAAATAATCTACAAAAGTTCACAAATATAATTAATTCGAGCGTTTCGGTCCATTTAAGTGGGCACATTGCCGTAACAGCTGCTCCGCGCTTCTTCTATTCTGCTGGTGATCTTCCCATAACTCGAAGATTTTGGCCTGCATGGACCTGTACATTTTCCGGTGCATTCTTGTAAGTTTTTTCTCGGAAACAAGGCGGATGCGAAGAGCGGTTAATCGGGCCTCTTGGTGATATAGGTCGATTAGGAGGTATAAGTTTAAGTTCTGTCTACCTGCAGCACGACGATGCAGCCCGTGGTTCCAACCTTCAACGTCATTGTTACTCCTGGTGGCCATGATGTATACGCTCCAACTTGAAGGGGGCCATGTGCTGTTGCTGATCCAAGTGTCTGACACGTACGCGAAAAACTGCTGTAGTGGGGCTGTGGTGGTCTGCTGTCTTAGTTGTTCGAACATTGGTGGGATTTCTTGTTCGGGCAGAAATGGCAACGCCATGAACTTCCAAAGATAAACGTAGGTTCCCTGATCATTGCAATACAGCTGCTGAAGCCCAAGCTCTTGAATCTGTAGAAAATAAATCAAAAAACAGGGTTGTAATATTTGTATTGCAAATAGCTCAAATTTTTTTTGAAAATTAGCATAAGTCACAGAAAGTCATGGAATTTAATCAGATGAAAATTCGTGTACAGATAATCAAATGACATGTTAGACCTACCTTCCTGCAGAGGGCCTGTGTCCAATGGAATACGCATCCCTTGATCTTTATACCAGGGAGGACCTGTCCAAGGACACTCCACAGTGCTTTTTCGAAATCCACTGTTATTTGACGGACGTTGGACTCGACAGGAAGCAAGTCAAGGATAGTCTTTATGACCTAAAAAATTAATAAAAAATGAATTCTTAGAGATAAATAATATTTTTTTTCTTTTAGTCCGGTATTGCTGCAGGTTATTGGCGGGGATGAAATATTTTATAAGCCCACTGCTTCGAGTGATAACAACTAGATGGTACATTACACACATTTAATTGACATGTTACCTTGCGATAGTCTTTTTTCTTTCTTCCAGACATCAAGACAAAGACGAGTGGTACTTGCTTTGCGTGATCATCTGTTCGCATGAAGGCGTTAATCGTAAAAAGTTGCTGAAACGGACGCTTCACCAACTTGAACGTGCCGTCTATATACCAAAACTTTACTTTGCTCTAGTTGCTGGTCTGTGGCGAAGATAAGGTGGTGTTTACTATGTTTCTGGATATCCTCTTTCAAGAAACCGCCTGGTACTTAATCATGGTTGAGGTCAAACTCCAGATCTAACGGATCTCTCGGTTGCGTAGATTGTCTCAATCTGTTGGCGGCTCTAGCTATGGCTCATCGCCAAGTTCATTTAGAAGGACCTAATAAAAAAGACAAAATAAAAAGACAAATTAACCGTTAATTAATCACATTGGATGGCTTGTTGAGAACTAGACAAATGTATGGTTTAACAAGATATAAGATGATATAAACTAATTACCTCCTAATACAGTTACAATAAAGGGAAAAACGACAATCATAACATTAATTCTTCAAGATGAGAAACGTTACTAGCAAACTTAAGGAGTAAGATAAAGAGTTTATGCTTAAAATTATTTAATCTAGATGAATGTATAATA